TGTTTTATTTCTTGCTTCCGTTTCTCCTGCAGTGGGCAACGGAATCCTTGAGCGCACGTGCGCTCTACTCCGGATGGTAGATGAGAAGGAACAAAACAATATAGTCGGCAAAGCCCCGCGGGCCGCACACCAGGACCTCGCAGGCCGCAGGTTGCTCATCACTGCTATAGATGTTCCCTCGTGTCTCTTCGATTCGTCAACCGGATAGGTGATGACAGTTTCCAACTTTGATCTATATTCGACTACTAGTCGAACGATACATTCGTGCTTTGCATTTCTTCGATTGCCCTCGCATTATAGTCACATTTCCTCGGGCAGATTTTTGTGTTTTCAATCTACCATTCGGCTAGGGCTATACTGATGGTCACATTTAGCAGTTGGACCGATGATAGATCTCATACCTATCGGTCGGTGCCGGTGCCTATAGTGACGTATAGATAAACAGCAAAGATCCATTATATCAAAATATTTATTCAAATTGACCTATTAGGAAGTCATGTTCATTTTTTTTAAAGGGCTGTCACGCTGGGTGACTCGAGAACATAGAAGCATCGACCTAAAATGTCGATAGTGGGCGCATTCAGTTGTGACTCGATCTAACTGGGCGAGTCATGACTCAGGGCATAGCCCACTTTAACATCTTCTGAATGCATTGGGTCATTTAACCAGCGAATTTTAGTTGCTTTTCTATGTAGTAGCAGCAATAGAGGGAGTTGAAATTAGAAAATCGTGAAGAGGTACAGAATGGTCTTCAAGATCAAGTTACCTCTCCGGGATATTCACAATGCCCGAGTTCGACCTCACCCTCTTGTTTATTGCATCAACTCGATCTCAGAGATCGGGTCATAGCACGTAACTCGAGTCAGGTTCCTGCGTCATCACCTGATGCATTCAGTGTTTCGTGTCGTGACTCGCGTTATAACTCGGGTCGGAACTGAATGCGCCCAGTGCATCGATGCAACCGGGGAGTGGAGGGGGTAGGGGGGAGGGATGCTGGTGGATTCAGTCTTTTCTTGCTGCGATCGGGCGAAGGTTTGACTTCCGTCGTTTCTTTCCTCGATCGGGCGCAGACCTCTTGCCGCATTCCATAACAGTGGTCGGAGAGTGCGGGGGGGGAGGTGTGACCAAGGTATTTGGGTGTGACTTTCGCGACGGGTAATAAAGCCTTCCACCTATCGAAAATGACATCCATTCATCGATGGATGCATCGGGACAGCCTGATATTCTCCTATTGCCGTTGAGAATCAGTTGCCAAGCTCCGTTCACTTATTTTTTTTCTTCCTTTTTGCACGTCCTTCTTTGAACATCGGCACTGGCAGCTTGCAAACCGACCGACGGCTGATGGTGCCATACTGGCGGCCGATATCGGTGGTTACCGATACAACGGTACAGCCCTACATTTGGCTATGTGAAACGCCCGTGGATTTATGTGAAGCTGATGAGGCTGTTTACTGATTCTACTGTATGTTTACGTGAAGCACATCTGGAACGACGTACGTGACCGCCCTGCTATTACCCGATTGAGTTGCGGATCTGCTTGAGCTTAAGGAAGACTGGATCGATGATATCTTATTTCAGGGAAGACTAGCGCAATGCTGTCTCAACAGGCTAGTTGGTTAAGACACGTCTCTTCCTCTTACAGAGGTTGCAGCTTGAGACTAGGCGAAGAGGAGGGCAACTTAAAACCAGCAAACCACCAGACAAGAGGTAAGAAAATGAAAGCCTGAGCTTTTTGAAACTTGTACGAGTACGCATTTGGTGAACTTTCCCTTTTTTCCAATACATGACTTCCTTTATTCTTCCATTCTCGGGAAGGGATTTTTCCCTCCTGGCGTGGTCAGAAAGAAATTTCGGGGGGAGGGCGGAGGGAAAGTCCGGGGAGCAGAGGTGACCCTGGCAGCGACACTTTCAGACATGATTCGTGTAACAGACTTTTAGGGGAGACTGGGGGGAGGGGTATTGGTAGTGGTGTAGCCAGGATTTCGTTAAGCAGAACGATGGGGGGGATATAAGGAGGATGCCAAAAACCGCCCCCCGCGTTACAAACCAAAATAGGTGTCAATCAATAGATCTTGATGAGTAGATCAAAGTTGTCAATGAGCACAAATCTGTCAGAGAGTGCGATCATTGAGTTTTTGGTCGTCAAAGTTCAAATCTTCTGTTGTTAATCCTTTTGCTACGTTTCAATATATATTAAACCTGATGATAGATGTAATCGTTTTTTTTAATTAGTACCAGGGGCAGTAGTATTGCATTAAAGCATGATGTTAGGCCTTGTTAGATATGAAGTCTTGTGTGCTAAAGCACGCTTCATTGCAATAACGCGGCCTCTGGTACGGTTGATGTAATACTTTATGACTTTATATTTAAAAAAACCTCATCTGGAACATGCAGCTACCTCCTCGTGGTGACGGCCGGCAACGGGTTACTCCCGAAATTCAAATGCCAGCAAAGCCGCTGAGCCACATCTGAGTAGTATTTGAGACCAGTGATGAAGGACCGACTTGATTTTATTAATAATAATAATTATTATTATTATGCGCAGAATCAACCTAACGGGTAGCAAATGAAAGTATGGTGATTTAATTAGTTTTAGTTTTTTTTTTCATACACATGGCTTATTTACTTGAGTATGGTATCGTTGAATTCGTCTTATTGAGTCCATTTCAAAGATGTATCTCCCGACAATATAGGAGTTTAATACATTTGTAAGCAAAAAAATTAGAGCGACCGAAGGTTTGAACTTTGATGACCTAAAACTCAATGATCGCACTCTCTGACAGATTTGAGCCCATTAACAACTTCGATCTACTCATGAAGATCTATCGATTGACACCTGTTTCGGTTTGTAACGAGGGGGGCAGCGGTACCGTAGAAAGTCGGCATCCTCCTTTCCCTTATTTCTCCTTGCCCGGGGGGAGGAGGGGGGGGGGGGGGTGGCGGACGCATTTTGACCAGAGTTGGGGGGCTTGAACCAACTTGGCGAGGGCTGAAGCCCCCCCCCCCCCCCCCCCCCCCCCCCCCCCCCCCCATGTAACGAGGGGGGCAGCGGTACCGTAGAAAGTCGGCATCCTCCTTTCCCTTATTTCTCCTTGCCCGGGGGGAGGAGGGGGGGGGGGGTGGCGGACGCATTTTGACCAGAGTTGGGGGGCTTGAACCAACTTGGCGAGGGCTGAAGCCCCCCCCCCCCAGCCTCCCCCTTGCTACACCACTAGGTACTGGACTGACCGTTAGGTTCAAAAGCATGGAGGAAGTCATTAGAACACGAGGGCAATTGCCCCCCTCGCCCCCCAAATGACGCTCTTGAGAAAGGGGAAGGCCACTTTGAGGAATCTCCCAATTGAGCAGGAGATGTGATTTTCCAGAAGGGCAGGGGGTAGTCCAAGTCCACAAGACCACAAGATCCCCCCCTGCCTGCAGGCACTCAGACCCATACTTCCCCCTGGCTGTATTACGGGAGGGGGGGGGGGGGGGGGGGGGTCCATATCAGAAGATCCCCCTCAGGTATACGTCTATGCCAGGTATATGCCAGATTTTATGCTTCTGACCTCGCTATAGATTCGCTCGTCTATACTCAGATAACACTCGACGTTTGTAAAGTGTGGGCAACGTTCCAGGAACGTGTACGTTCGGAAACGATGCTGGCTCAACGTTATGGTTTCGTTGGCATCCCACATGATTGATACAATTTCATACGTGATATCACTGTCGTATACTGTACTTTAAGTTAACTCAACTGCACAATGTAGCTTCCTTGATGCTTGGAACCGTCACCGTTGCGTCTGTAAATGAATTTTCGCGTACATAACCTGGAGCAAGTGGTTTGGCTGTTATCAGGGAAAGCGAGGGCCGGCTCGTACACCCGCAGTTCAACTCCTTTCGCCGTATAAAAGAGGGAAAAACCTGTTTTTCCTTTCATTCGGTTTTCCGTTGTGCGGTGTCAAGTGTCTCTTTCCTGTTTCATTCTCAGTTTAGGCCTTGTTGTCAATGTCTGTTTCGGGTTTTGCCGTCATTGTTGTGCTTGGAGTTCTTGTCACTTAGCAGGGTATGTGAACTCGTAGGTCTATCGTGTATCTAGCGCTCTTTGGCATCATTTGCATGATTCCAATCCTTTGCCACGCACTTTTGAAGGTACTGATTTGGAGTGACCCTTTTTGGCTTTTCCTGTTGTACCCGTCTGGCCCTTTCAAGTTTGTTTGACCTTTTACTACCATTCTGTCGTCCTGCCTTCCGATTGGGAAACGTCATTTTCAGAGTGACAAAGGAAGTTTTTCAGCGTTTTATTGGTTCTGCCCGATGTTTTGGACTAGTCAGCCTAGGTCCGGTTGTAAGACCTTGAGCACAAATTATTACATTGCTCACTCCTTTGATTCTAATCGAACAAAGCATTTAATAAGGAATGGCTGTTGGCTGCTGGACATTTCTGGACACATGGCTATTGGATTCCCGAGTGCCTTCGCTTACCTCCTTCTTAACCTGCCATTAGCTCTTCTGGGCTCATAATTGGAATCTATCCTCATTTGCGCGTCTTAGATTGCATATTGCATCATAGAGCTGAATGGAAAGCCCTTCAATTAAGGCACAGCAGATTTTCAATGAGTTGAGCGAGTCACTGAGCCTTCTGTACCTCGTACTAATGTGTAAAACCTTCATGCCTTTGAATAGATGCTGGGACGGCTTCCACGATGGAGATTATCCTCACCCTCTGCGCGCCATTCATCTGCCTTAATGTTGAGCTTCCCCTCCCTCAAATCCTGCGTACGCCACTGATTTTGATGAATGATCGAGAGTTTGTGAATTCAATGATTCTCTCGGCAATGACAGGCAAATAATGGAGACGCTGTCATCAGCAAAGGTGTAATAATGTTGATGATTGTTGGTACGTTTTAGTTTATAGATGAGAGGAATGGGAGCAATGGGGAAAGGAGGGGAAGAGATGGGATATCTATTTTGGTCAGTGGCCGGGAGTGGATGCCATGCGTCTATTTTTAGGGAAGCATCACTTTGAAAAATGGCGGCCCACGTTGGGTCTCTGCCAACCAGTCTAAATCCCAGCGATGCCGGGACCGGGACGGAGACCGGACCCGTCAATCTCGATTCCTGGAAACTTCTCCCATTTTTGCCAACAATGGACACGTTGTCTGTGCTCTTATTCGCTTGGGTGTTATTCGGCGTTGTCGTTTACGTCCTTGGGAACTATGTGTCCAATCGCTATCTTAGTTCACAACAGAAGAATGAGAGGAAGGATTCGCAACGCAGAGAACCTACGATTGAGAATGTGATTCATAAGGCTAGTGTGCAATCTGGAGATAAGCGAGTTCTTAGTGAAGCACTTTCAAGAAGCCCTCAAGTCACACCTCAAGTGCCCAGCAGTGAACAACTCCTGTCTAAGACTTACTTGACATCCATTGAAGTGGGGAAGGATAATGCCAATCATGGACAGATCCCAGGCAGTGAGAATCACGTGGTATTCCATGTGGACCATCCAGTTGCTATGGGACCTGACCCTGAAAGCATCAAGTGGATCAATGATGTTTTGAGGTGGCTTTACACACCCAAGCAACTAGGTGGACTAGGTCATAAAGCTGTGAAAGATATATTTAACATATGGATCACCACCTTACGAGATTTTACCCGAAAGAATTGCACAGAGGTAAGGACATTTAGCCTATTTGTGCCTAATATATGAGAATTTTCTTGTGTTGCAGCAAGTCCCTGACTGTTTCTAATGGTAGGAACCTTTTCTTGACCTGGTGATGCTTTCTATTAGATAAGGTCTAGATTGGAAAGATGTTCAAGGCTTAAACTTTTTGAGGAGCAGCAACTTATGTAGGATGTTCGGGAAAACATCCCATTCTATAGTAGATTTAGCTTTTCTGTTAAACTTAGAAACTCATAATTTCTTTTGATTTATACCCGGATGATGTTGGGAGTTTTATATAAAGTGTAAATCACCATGTCTATACTTGAATTACAGCATACATCAAAGATTATTGAGTGATGGTATCAACCAAAGAGTGTAGTTCAAATTGTTAATTAAAATAGTATCATTCATGTGCAGGTAACAATACTTCCAGCTACATGAAAATGGGATGGTTTTTTCAATGGAACTACTGGCATATACAGTCGACCCTTGATATACTGCCACTTGGTAGACCACTACCCTTGCTTACCATAAGTTCTTTCCTGGGAACAAATCTTCCCCATAAGTTTATAATAAGTGGTCCCTCATAATAGCACTGCCCTTGCAAGCCCTCATCTGCCAACATCATTTGTGCAAACACCCTTTTTTATACATAAATCCTCCTCAATTTTGTGCTAAGTAGCACATGTGCTGCAACCCTTTTCCAATATTAAACACAGTTAAATATTTCTTGCCATCAGTAGAGGTGACTAATTGCCATGGAATGGATAGTTCATAGGAAAAGTGTAGGGCAGGGGTGTCAAACACATGGCCCGTGGAGGTGGTTCTTCCGGCCTGCTGTCTGCTTTTGAAATTTTCCTCTTGGATTGAGTGTCAGCACAAATTTCAGTGAAATATTATGGGTGCGGCCTGCAGGCAGTTGCAGGGTAAGGAATGTGGCCTGGCGACCGGTTTGAGTTTGACACCCCAGGTGTAGGGTATTGGTGGGGACTACAGATGGCATTATAAACCATTTAGTCAATTAAGCCCTAGAATATTTTAGTACTGTAGCTTCTAGTAAACTGCAGTTTATTCAAGATGGCACCACCTGCATTATAGTGCCAAAATCAAGGTCCAACTGTGACATTATTTGGAGGGTTGACATGTATATAGCACAACATGTTCCAGAAGGAATACAATATCTGTACATCACATGTATTAGGCCTTTTATGTGCATTTGTGTGTGAGAGAAACTTTCAATATAAACATAACTTGTCAAAAATATTCATGAACTTAATTTGCCATGGGGACTTGAGTTCCAGACTGGGGCCTGTTTTTATATTAAAGAAAAACAAAGATTGAACAGCTTCAGAGGTTCTATACTTTGTTGTGCATATACTAAAGATGTTGTCAGATAGGTTCATACCTACAGGAGCAAGCCATCTGGCTAATCATCCCCTTTTGAAATGAATGCATTTTCTATTTTGGACAGTTTTAAACGACTAGTTTTTTTAAATATTTAAACCTAGCATTTTACTGACACTTAAGATATGTTGTAGGTTCTGTTTTTAAGTGCAATAAAATCCATTTTGCCAAACTTAATTCATACACACCTGCATTTGTATAGAACTAATTAAGATTAATAATCCATCAAAGAAATAGTCTAATACATGATGGTACAATCATAGGCCTATTATATCAGTCTAAAGGCTAGCTCATGCCCTGTGTCCTGATCTTCACCCTTTTAGTGCCAGAGTCAATCAGATCATTGCTAAAAATTTTCGTTAAAAATGCCAGAGTCAAAGAGCTGGCACTAGAAGGGTTAAAGTGAGAGGTGATGATGATCACCTGATGATCAAATTTTGCCCGACATTTAACTCTGGCACTTTTTAACAAAATACATAGCATCAACCTAATTGACCCTATCATTATAAGGATTAAAAGACAATTTGACTAACCCATAGAAAGTAAAGTCAAGAAAATTTAGTTACTGATAAGATCCAGAAGAAACTCTCAGGTATGTATTTCAAGTTATTACATTCCTTTCTGTGATTTCAAGGGAATTTTTCACCTGTTCTTTTGACCTCAGTAAACTGTTGCATAGCCAAAGAAGTCAATTGAAGAGTAATGAATTGACTGAGAAATGGGACCCCTAAGTAAGTAAATTTTATAAGCATTGCAGACAAAACTTGTAAACTATGTGCAGTATAGCACTTTATCAACTACCTGAAAGTGAATATACTACCCTTATTGAATCAGTCACATTTGTTGCTCTTCTTGCTCTCCACCCACATGAACCTTGACTCCTGCCAGAAGTCTGTCATGTACATTTTGCATAATGGGCTGTCTACATCAATTGCAGCAGATGCTGCGTGAGTAATAGTCTTTCATTTCTCAGTTTCTTAAGGCTTATGCTTAACCCTTTCTGAGGAAGTTGGCACATCTTCCTGTGTTTTATTTAATATCAAAGAAAGTACACAAGAAATGGATTCCATTTCATTCCAATGGATTTCAGATTCCATTTTTTTTTGTTCACAAATTGTGACCAATGATGAATTCCTACTGATACCAACCAGTATCATTGGGAAGTGGGCTACTCAATGCACTAATAAGAATTTTTGTATTGGCAAGTTTGATTCCCACACCCTGCTAAGGGTTAAAAGATTCAGTTACAAAAATATATAACATTGTAATATCTTGAACAATGCTTCTGCCAATAGTGGAAGAAAAGAGCAAAAGAAATTGTATATGGCTTGCCTGGTCTCTGGATTTGACATTACCAGATTTCATTACATTTTCTTGCCTCAAAAACCTTGAGGTGCTAAGAAAATTTAGACAGTTTGATGCTGCAGTTGATGTAGACTTACATCATCTATGTCATTTAGAACAGACATCAGTTTCAAGTTTACATGATGTGTATGGAGAGTAGATGGCATATCTGACCAAAAAATGTTAATGCTTTCACAAATACTGACCAAGTGCTGTGTGAAAAGCAGTTCTTGGGGAAAGGGAAATTCCAAGGGAAAGTTTCTCCCTTTGTCATTGAATTTCACAATGGAGGTACTGAATGAGCAAAAAATGTGAAATTTCCCTGAAATTTGTCACACCTTATTAAGCGACTTCATGATTGTCTATTTATTAAATTTTACTCTCTTCCTCCATTTAGGTATATATATATATAGGATAGCACAATTGGAATACTGAGTGCCAATCAAATACCATAATTAGTTTTGAGGGACTTGCAGGGATACATTCAGAATTGACACTGGCATTAGCATGATATGTGCTTTGAACTGAATAAAGGCACCAATTAGAATCTTTGCATAAGCAAAGGAGATATTTCACTTTTTTCTTTTTTCTTTTAACTTTATTGATTGCCCAAAATCACAAGCATAATATTGACAGTTTACTCTTGTGCAGCTTTATTCTTCATCAGTTCCTCAACTGAAAATGGCTCTGGAAATTGTAAAAAAAATCAGCTAATTTCCATGAGGAGTATCACCATGTGTGATGAATAGAATACTAAAAAAATGTGTGACCATATCCATGCCACTGAAGAACTTCACTAAAGGCTATGATTTGAGAAGGGATGCTTCTTAATTAGGATCTGAATTGATGAATGATACTGACCAGCCAACTGAGTGCCTTAGTTCTTTTTGCAGGTTAGTTAGAAGCTTCAGGGGAATGAATTGTCAAGCCAGAGAAGTTGCCCATGTGTCTGACTTGTAGGCTGTAATGAATGATGTTGAGCTTAATGTTGCACCTTATTTCTTGTTCACAAACAGTTTTCTAAGGAACAGTAAGAACATAGGCTCACATGTCTCAGTTGACTGAAGGAAAAAAAAAACTTTTTTTTTTTGTAGATGCCAAAGTGGGTGCAATTGACAAAAGCCACCCTACTCTATGGTAAACTCCATGGCAGCTGTTTAGAGAGGGTACATGCTGATGGCTCTTTGGGTATAAACAGTGTAATATATTATATACAAACAACTTAAATTGGGGGTTTATGAGACTCTAGGCCCAAAAATATTGCCCATGCCTGTGCTTACTTCACAAGGCAAGAGGGAGAATATGAATTCTTGCTGCTTTTTTTGGATGTTTTCATTTTGTATTTCTATGATGCAGACTTTCAGGGAGGGTGGGAGCCTAAGTGCAAAACTTAGTAGAACTCTTTCAGGCTCTTTATGTACATTTGCTTTCAAGATCTATGCAGTGCTTCCAAGTAGAAATAAGATTGTGATTTGTTGTAGATGATGAAGTTGGAGACATGATGAACAATGGATACCTTCATTATAAATATCAAGACCTAATTGTCTCATATGTTGTAATACTACTTACTATGAAGAATTTTCTTTGCAACTGTAATACCTCAGACAAAGGAAAACAGGTTCTTAATTTGATGTGATCTGTGGCACCAGGATTTTTACCTGGTGATATCATGGGGAAGGTTTGAACCACCTCCTATTCAAAAAACTGAATGGGGATTAACACGTTGACGACCAGCCTATTTTTGCTTGTCCACCGCGTGGGACCACGCGCATTTTTTTGTCAAAAAATGCGTCCTGCCATCAGGACACATGGTCCCAGAAAACATTTTTTTTGCCAAGTTTTTTTAAAATGTTGAATTTTTTGGAATTTTTATCAGTAATTACGAAATTATAATCTTCTGGAACGTTCTCAACAGTTCCAGAGGGTATTCATTGAAAAAAAATCTGCATCCTGGCATTAGGACGCATTGTTAATGAAACATTTTGAAACTTAGAAAAAAAAATCTGCATCCTGGCATCAGGACGCATTGTCGCCAACGTGTTAAGAAATCCCTGGTGCTCCACTTGGTGTAATGGCATCTGTCAAGTTACTGTAGTACTGATACTGGAGTAACAGGAATATATTGACTTGTAATGGAAAGCAAATTGATTACTGCAAATGTCATAATACTTTATATGTTTACTTGCTTATAGGAGGCATTTCAGTATCTACACTTTGTGGACTTTTCCTATAACCCTTCTGATGTATGTACACTAAGGAAGCATCTTCAAAAAACATGTGTTGTCAGTTCTAATAGACACATTTGAATTGTGCTTTTTCCTTCAGCCAGGGACAATAATTGAGGTTGAGGCCTCTGAAATTCCATATCCTGCTCCCAAACTCTCCAACATTTTCATTGACAATGGACCTCTTGATAATCTTGTGAGTTTTTGATTTACTGATTCAGTACTGCTACTGATTACCAGGAAATGCATGATAATCTGAATTTCTTCATATTAACTATTTTCAGACAGTCACAGGTGATTATGAATCCATTGGAAGTTTAACAGCAAAGTTGCATCGTGGAAACGAAGTCAAATCATTTGATGTCCATGTGAAAAAGCTCAGAGGAAGATTGAACATTGCCTGCATAACCGAAGAATTGTTTGCTGTAGCCAAGTTTGATGGGTGGCCCGAAGTAAGCTCATTTTATGGTATTCCCACTTGCTAGATCTATTGATTGCTTTTATGTGAACCTGTGTTTCAATGCCTTATAATGGAAACATTACAGGTTCAAGTAGAAGTTACTCCAACAGATGACAGAGATAGAGCACTGTCTGATCTAGTATGTGATGTGGTGAAGTCAGCCCTGCGAAGTGCTGTTGTGGACCTCAGTCTCAACACATATCCAGATTTTCCACGGTTTGTCAGGACACAGGTTCATTCCCAGACCAAGTCACATGTCCAAATGGTGAGACTTTTTCATTGAACAAGAATTACTTTATCATATAGTATTATTGGTATAAGGCCATCTGTCATTTCAAGATTCATGATGTGAAGAATTTTTATCTTCACAAAAGCATGTAAGTGCCCAGGACTTAGGAGTCATTCTCTTTATTCCTTTGATGTGTATTAGGGGGACCTATGACAATTAATGACATGTGCCTTTGTGTTGTTATAATATGCCATGAAGGAAAGATGCCAAGTTGAGATGTCCTACAAGTTCTGCTAGGAGTAGGGTAGTGGGAGTCAGGTCTCCATTTATATTGCCCATCTCCTTTGGTTCTTCCTCTGTCATTTTTTTTCTTTGCTTTTAGTTTGGCTCCTCTCCAGTGCTTCCCTGGTTCTGGTGCTAGCTTTCTCTGGCACCCACTGTTCTTTGTTCACTTTTTTTTCTTTGAGTTTGCCAAAGGAAACATAGAATTGTATTGCTGCATTTACTTGAAATATGGAGATAGGTTCTGCTGATAGGAAAATTCATAGTAGAAGGTTAAGTTATGGTTAGTGACTTGTTGCTCATGCTTCCTGCATCTCAGACTCCTCAGGTGCATGAAAATGAGTATTTTTTCCTATGAATATTTAGGCCTGTGAGATTTATTTATAGTGACTGTAAAGATTTGAGTTGACAAGAACTTCACCTACTCTACATTGTAGGTTGTAAGTCCAAAAATGCTGTAATTGCTCTCTGACCTTGTTTTATCCCACTAGCATGATGACGGGATGAAGCAGTTACATGGTCAGCTTCTTGTGAAAGTGGTGAAGGCAAGTGGCCTTGGAGCTAATAGAGGTAAAAATACTTAAAACTTCCTTGTCATAAGTTGTGGTGGTATAGATATGCACAGGTGCAAAAAGTGGATTGTACACTTGTCCCCCCCTTTTTTTCCTTTTTTGACAGAATGCAATGAACCATACTGCACTATAGAGCTGGATGATCCTCCTCAAAAGTTTGCAACATCTTCCAAAAAGGAAACATCAAGTCCCTTCTGGGATGAGAGTTTTCTCTTGTGAGTGTCAAACATCTGTTACAAAACACTGTTATTGCATGTTACATTGTTTCATGGAATCATGTAAGTTGAATGTTTGCCCAGTGACTTGAGCCTATCAGCTTGCGAGATCTTGTTTGAAATCTTCGACCGAGGAAAGACAGGAGGTGGGAATGAAGCTTTTCTTGGTCTTGGGATTGTTGGAATAGATGAGTTACGGGCTACTCCAAGCCAACGACAGATCATTCCTCTTCAGAGTCGACCATATGAAAAGGATGAAGTTTCTGGATCTCTCACAGTTGAAGTGAGATATAATTCATGACTAGAGTATTCCCTTTTATTTTTTAAACCTAATTATGTGTATCTGGACCCATAGTTCCTGTTTGTGGATGACACTGGAATTGTAGACTTCTCAGGAGTAGCCAAGAAGTTTACTCAGACTGTGAAGCAGAAGGGCCCAGGAGGTTCACTGCAGACCAAAACCATCACTACTTATACTCCCTCTGAACAATTAGGTGAGTTCTTAGTATCTCGTGAGAAGTTGGTTAATGGTTAGTCTATGTGATCATTTTAGAGCTTCAAGAATCTGGGGTAGGAATAGTAATAAAAAAGTTGAATTTGTGTATGGCTTTGATGATAGAACTATGAAATGCCATTTTTCCTGTCTCAGATGACCGAGGGCAAATTGTGCGTCGTCACTCTTACAAAACTGCAACTGAACTTGGTAAAGCCAGAAAACTCATGTGGAATTGCATGATTGTCACTAAGTGGTGTATAATGTTCTTCTGGTCTCAGATAGCTGAATGGAGCATTCTCTAATGATGTTTGTTGTAATTACTTTGAGTTTTTGTCCCTTCAGTCTGCATGCATTGCTTTTATTTCATGATACTACTAGGCTAGCAAATTTTCATGCTACAATAGTGCTAGTTTGATAAAATGATGTTGATCTTGGTATTTTGATACATTCAGCATTCAGTCCACTATCAATTTGGTGTTCACTCTAGGCTAAAAGTCATTTGCTGGTTTGCACTTGCAACCTTAACACAACCAGAGCCTGTGTTTTATATTTTCCATCTGGATGCAAAATGTTGAAGCTGGCAAAAGCCTTCATGATGAGTGAGGATTTGAGATGCCAAGAAACTTGTACATGGCTATTTTCATGTAAAGGTTATCAGGCAATTACACTTGGATTTCTTTTTTCATTTTTTTATATATATGTTTTTTCATAAATTTTTTTTTTGTCACAAACCACATTTTCAGCTACTATGCAGATGTACAGGGTGTTCAGAAAGTCTTATGACCCATGGTACTAATAAAGTGTTTGGACTTATTTGTACTCTTTGACAAGGCAACAATACTGTCTGTAATTTTTTCTTCAGTGAGTACTGTTGGTCTCCCAGACTGAAGATTAGCAACACTGCCTGTTTTGTCAAAATTGTAATACAGACATTTGATAATGGATTTATTTAGGGCAGTGCTTCTGTAGTATGTGTTCAAACTGGTCTCAGTATTCGGTTTGAACCAGGGTTAATAAAATATCATCCATAAAGGCCAATATTATTGAACTACAGACCTACTGACATGATCCAATCAATGTCATCAGCACTTGTGTACTATGATGTTCTATTTCATGGAATTCTTAGTTGGTGATAGTATGTTGACTGCCTTATGGAGTGCTGGTGCATTGTATGATCTTGTAATTGCTGGAGAAATTTATGCTAAGGCAGTTAATTTGTTGATGACAGTTTTAGGATTTCCTACATTTCATTGATTCCCTGTGCCATTACCTAGTAAAGGCTTTTTAGTTAGTATTCTCCATCAAATCGTGCTTTCAGATTCCCTCTATTATATGCTGCCATGTCTTGAAATTGTGACTCCTTAGTTCTTGTTGAGAAATCAATCATAAATATGTTTTACTGCTGGCAGATTTGCATAAAGCTGTTGAAGTCTTGCACACTACAAGTGGTGGCATATGTATATTTTCAAATTTAGTGCTCTAGTTATACAGCAGTATTCTGTGTATGCAAGCTGCTGCAACACTACATGAGATAGGGAAAAGGCTATGTTGTAAAGGATAAGGTGTTTTGGACTTGGGGAGGGAAGGGGGGCAATAATACATTTTGTATGGAAGAGATTCTAGATATGTAGCTCAAGACTTCACAATGGCAAGAGGAGAGAGGTATAAATGCCGTTAGAATGCACTCCAGCTCTGTATTCCTTTCCACCCTGCCAAAGTAAAGTTCTCCTCCCCCTATCTTATTTGATGGCTTGGTCTGACAGTCTGAAAATGTTCTCTTCTGAATTCTCTTCTCTTCCACCAGTCAGAATGGCTCATGACTTGTGTATTGAATTTTATTTCTCAAATTCTTATGATGTCTCATTCATATTCTCTTTAATAAAAAAAAAATTGGAGAGTGACAGGTTGAAAATGTCTCAGCAATGGACAATTTTTTTTTTTGAGGAGGGGAAGGATAGATTCCCTGTTCTAATTGCTGTCATCCTTAAAATCTTTCACTGGGACAAGGAGATGCTTTCCAATGTCAGTGAAGCATCTTCAACTTCAAGCCAGTTTTTCAAGGGTCTGACAAGGTCTGAAGGTAATATAAGCACTGTAGAGCTATATTGGGAGGGGTTCTTGAATAAATGGGATTAATCCTCCCATTTAAGCTGGGTATTAGTTTGCATTTGGTGCTTTGTCAAACAATCCCCATCAGCCTACAGTACTTGCAACAGCTTCTCAAGTTCTAACCAAGGCTGGCTGAATTTTATTTTTCTATAAATGTTGCAGCAGTGGAAAAGCTCGTTGCTACATTTACAAGGGAGGGAGTTTAGGAAGTCTGAGCCTTTTGCAACTGCCTGTTTGTTGTTTTTTTAACAATTTTTTATACCCTTGCATGAGGCCTGATGATGGTGCATTGGATCGAAAGTCTGTAGATGGCACTATGTCAAAAGCATGGATTGTGATGAACACCCTCACACAAAGACTATGGCAATTCCTCAAGCATTTAGTAAAGCTCAAGTTATGGACCTCCCTAATGGCATTGCCTCTCTGTGATTTTGTATCCTATTTTGCAAGCCTAAGTAAGGACTGGGTTATTTCAGCATTGCTCAGGTTCTTGGCTTATCCAGCATTATCCATTTCAATGCTAGAGCTGATGTGACAGGTCTGCATAGGCCATGGTGCCATGAAGCACTAGAGCCAATGCTTGAGCCCAAGGTGGAAAATCAAGTATCCAAAGACAGCTGGATAAACTGTCAGCCTGGGAGAACCTGGAGGTGGAACAACTTGGAGTGAAGTGGAGTATAAGAAGTAATATACTAAGGAAGAAGTGGCTAGAGACTTCTCAGATCAAAATGTTGACTTGCTGATGCAGTTCTGTGCTTCCAAGGAGATCTAAACTTCATTGAAAAAAAATTAGTTTGGCATCTGATCTTCAGATTACATTATTTTTACTTGTTTCTAGAACAGCCTTTTGAGTTGCCAGCTAAGTTCATGATTGGGACATTACAGATCCTGTTGAGAGTGGTGTGGAATCTGGCATAGCATCAGTTGCCATTCAAGAGCTACAGTTGAAGAAGCCATCAGCTGAGCTCACTCCAAAGCAGAGCACACTCATTATCCATTCTGTACAGCGTGTGAGTGTTTTTCTCTCCATCTTCTCTCACTTGCATGCAATACTCAAGTTTAATTTCATCTTAATGTTATACTAATATGGAATGCTCATACCTCCAGATACTGACATACTGTGCACTGTTAGTGGTAACTTGTGAATGCTTATAGCTAAGTTTTTGCCTGAGCCTGCCTACAAATGGTCTTATATGGCCTGTCTTTTTCTCTCTGACTGCTACACATCCTTGTAGGTGCTCAAGCAGCCTGTTCTCAAGGTAAGTAATACTTATGCTTGTGATTTATTTACTTGTAGAGATATTTTATTCCATATTCTCTTCACTTTGATTAACCATGCTCTCTAAGGTTGGAATTCAGCCTTCTTTTTCTGGACCTATATCTTTAATTACTCGTCATGTAGTGTGGCTCCAAAAGGTAGAACATTTTTAAGATCCCAAAATAGGAAATTATTGATGCGATTTTATTCAAACTTCAGAAGAGTTTGTCATAGATGGTACTTCTTTGAGGTTCATCATTTATTTGATATGAGGTCAGATGTAACTTCTGTGATGCATGCATTCATAATATGTGTAAAACTTAGACAGTGTAGCCATCAGATTTACAATCATTTATACATCATTCTCAGCATATGGACTTCCTAAAGCCCGCTAATGAAAGAATATGTATATACACTTGCACTGTACAGTAGGTAGCACTGGACAAGTACTCCAAAAAAATTGATTACCTGCATCATCAACCTTCTACCTTCAGAAGTAGTAGTGTAAGCTGTTTCTGTTGACTAGAAAATTCAATTAAATTACTTGGCTGTTGAAAAAATAGTACAGCATCCACCTCATATAGATATTGGTTTTTAATGCATATCTGAATAGCTGTCATTCTTAAATACACATAGTGTTGATTTTACTTTGCCATTCTTAGTCTGGTCCTGTTTTGATCTCATTAAGCTGCTTTGCTCCCTTATGGAATATAATATTTGGGAAAATTTAAACTTTCCTTCGGTTCAAGTAATGCTCTTTGACATTAATTCATCAGTATTTTCAGAACTTAGGTCTTAGAGTACCATTCTGCACTAATTATCAGGAGCAGAATGCAGCCTCCAAATTGTCTGGCCACATTGGTGATATTTTGAGCTGATGTACAGTATCCTGAATTAAAACGGTGTTCATATTAATTCATCAGTTTTAAGAAAAAAAAAAGGATGTTGCATGTACTACGGAGACTTTATCACTTGTAAGTTCCATATGTTTAGGGAAGTAAAGGGAAAAAGGTACATGGTTCAAATTTTCTGAATTAACTCAAGCAAAAGCAAAATAGAAGCCAAATTCTTGACTACTCTGGAGTCAGAATTCAAACCAAAATGGCACAGTAAAACAGATTTTTCTGGTAAAAAACTAAATCTTGTTTTATTTGTCTTAATAGCCACATAAAAGTGAGTCATTCTGGAGGACATTTAGTGTTTGGGTGATTGGGTAGTGCTTCTGCTTAGGCTACCGTCTACCTGAGTCAGATTTTCCTTAAGTATCATATATATGGTGATCCGAAAAGGTATCAAAAATAATTTATTTTACAAACCAAAGCACTTAAGTTAGGGACTTGAAACCTGGTACCATGCTTACTATTGTCCTTAAGTTTTTGTGTGCCTTGTCACACCTTAAAATGACCACCTGTGCATTCTGAACACAACCTGATGTGGCGGGATTGTTCAGTCCATGTTTTAGCTAGCATATCGGGGGTGATAGTGGCAACTGTTGTGATGATTTTTCTCTTTCAAATTGGCCAACTCAGTAGGTCTCAAGCGACCATAAAGTCAAGGATGTCTCGAGACCTTAAGAGTTGGTATCCCACCCATATGTGAGTCTGAGTTGCTCATAGACTGATGACATGAGCTCATGGCATGTGATGGCACCTTTAGGTGTTAGACTTGAAAGGCACTTTTTTTCTTGAGGAAGATGCTGTTGAACAAGGGTTCAAAGATTTCAAATATATATCGTTCCACATTTTCATTCCATTCCCCTGAATTAAAGTACATGTTTCTGCCATTTTCTTGAAATAAGTATTTTTTGCAAATTTTGCAGTAAGAGTAAGGACATTTGTATACACCACAAGTCAAAGTAAGTAATTCCTATGTAGCTTACTGCAGGGCATGTCTGCCCACATAATACTTATTCTTTTGCTTGTGGATATAAAGACATAGAGTTGATTTTTAAGTGTGAGAGCAAGTAACTGTAAGATATGCCATATTTCTATGCAATAAAATCTATACCCACCACCCTCCAAAAGTCCTGCATCGTTTTCTCTGCACAATAGGAAGTGCCTTTGGAGCCATGTTTCATACCATACTAGAGTTAGATTCTTCAATTTTGATGATGTTCCTCGTAATAATCTAATTACATGAAATGAAGATTATTTCTTGGAGCTTTTACATGCAAGTAATAAAAGATAGCCTTATTGGAATACGCTTTCCTCAAAACTATGGGGTAGCAAACTCTGCAAAAAAAATTGTAGCAGAAGAGGAAATATATTCCTGTCACAAAGAGTCTGAGATTTCCTTTGACACTAATTTTTAAAATAAAGTGCATGTATCTCACATAAAATATGCACAGTTGAAACTGAAGCACATCTTTGGTGAGTGTTAGTGAAATTCAGACTACCTTCTGTAAGTTATTGACTTAGACACAGATCATATAGAATCTATGTGCTGATCCCCAATTTTCATTGTATGTTGAAAGCAATGCCAGTGAAGATACTATATTTTTCTATTGATAACTAATTGAAACAGCCTGTCACACACATTCCCCACTGATTGAGATGTCTACTCATTTGACAGATTGAAAAAAGTGCAAATGGTGCCTGGCATGAAGTCCTCACTAACAGTCAGGTAATTAATTGCTACCCTTATTTGTCAGTATTTGTCAGGCAAAAGCATGACCTAGTATAACACAATGAAAACTTCCCTTGTCCTTTGTTAATTGATTCAGCTCTCATTTATTGATAGTACCCTGAGTTTCAGTATTCCTTGCTATAAGCTTAGTTTTCTAGAAACTAAGAAAATTAGTCATGGATGAGTAGACTCTTACAGGTCCATATGGCAATGAGTGAAGCAATCATGCAGTCTAACTGAATTTGCAGGATAAAGAACATGGAAATAAGAAAACAGGAGTTGAGGGTTCTGTTGACTCCAAGGAAGAAGAAGATGCAGGTGATTGCATAACTCATATCCACATTCAGATATCCATAATATCTCCAGCCACATCTATGTGGCTGGAGATATTGATAGATATACTAATATGTTTACTAATTGGCAGCAGATCGAGGGAGGAAAAGGAAGAAACGAGATTTCTTTGGATCCTTGCGGAGGCGTTGGCGGAGTAAGAGTCGCTCCAAGTCAGTTGAGGCAGGAAAGAGTTGCCCAGAACAGGCTCCTACATCTGTATCAGCGGCTGCTAGTCGTGAGGGTTCCATGTTCCGCTCTATTTCCATGGAGAGAGCCACATCTGTTCCCATACCTGGTATGGTTCTCTGACTTTAGAGAGTCTGCATGCAAAACCTTGTTCTCCAAAGCATGACATGGATTTAAACTGTTCTTCATAGATAACTTTCTGCAACCTGGTGTGAACCAAGAAGATAGCACTCGATCCAGCTTGAGTGAGATATCTGGGATTAGCAATTCATCCAATCGCACTTATGTCTCTGAAGCCTCTACCCTTGTACTGGAAGTGATCGAAAATGGACTGAAGAAGTAAAACTGATTATATTATCATCACCATTCCCACTAATTTGTACAGCTTTCATGGTTCTTTCCTATTTTTTTAAATGCATTTTTAGGTACTATCTGATACCACTGAACATAGCTCAGAGCAATCGGTGGAAGAAAAAAGGAACAAAACTTCACATCTACAATGATCATTCTTTTGTGGCAAAGCATTTGCCTGGGTATGTCTGAGCATGCCATTAGTTGTTTTTCTTGTTGGCATCTTATGTCTACTGCACTATCCTATTTTTTCCTTATCTCAGGTCTACAGTATGTCAAGTGTGTGAGAAGCCCCTGGGAAGGCGACTTGGAAAACAAGGCTATGAGTGTCGTGATTGTGGCTTGTGCTGTCATAAGCCTTGTCATGTACGAACAGAATCTCATTGTCCCTCCAGTCAAGTCCAATCTATGGAGCTGTGAGTCCATTCTCTCAAGTATCTAGCTTATTGCTTAACCTTTTGGGGTCCACACCTGAGTCATCTTGTGTTGGTCTCATGATGAAGGATAGAAAAAACTTGGATGCCAGTGCTGACACATTCAAATACTCAGACCCTGAAGGGTTAATTAATGGCTGAGTCCATTTGACAGATGGAAACCTCCATCTTCCTTCATAGCATGTGACTCCTATGCAGTGACTTTGTGACTCCTTTTTAGACTAATTAAAAGTCATAACCTGAGGGCCCCAGATGCATGCCAATATCTGCTATATTTTCTCAACTTGTTCATCTGAGTCATGGATATATTGACATGAAATGTGCATGAAAAGCGTACAAACTGATTTAAATACCTTGAAATGAAAATTGCTCATGTGATAACATAGCATATTGATGTGGTCAGAACAATATGCTTATGTTGCATGCAGCCGGATGCTGTCTCCCCCTCGACAGCTATGGTTCCAACGCAGGGAACCCAAAGCTAAGTTCTCTCTTTCTCTTGGAAGACTCTTTCCTTGTATATGTCCCTCCAAACATGATTATAAACCCTTGGCTTTGGAAAGAAAGAGAGAAGTTCTCTACTGCTACTCATCTGGAATCTCAGGCAAAACTGTTGGTGTAGGTTTCTCTTCCTTCAATTCTCAGTATGCATAGCATGTCTTTCTCACCTTTACCAGTTGCAGTAAGCTGAGTTGATGGCTACATTTGTGAAATGTTTCCAGGTTTAGTCTTTTGATGACTTGCTTCTGTCATTCTTGTGACTTGATTATTTTTGCTTTTATTTGTTTTATGTAATAGAAGATAATCATACTTGGGTCTATTATTATACCTTTCAGTGAGATCTATTCTGATCAGGAGCGACGAATAGTGAAGATGAAGAGTGTGGGGTAGTGAAATCCTGCCTTCAGAATCATCACTTCTTCAGATGCACTAGATTGGGTTTCTGCCTTCACCAAAACAAGCTTTTCATAAAAGAATTATTTACCCATTTCCTATGTTAGCCTAATGTTACTGCCCTTAATGTTCTATCCTTTTTTTGTCAGTCAGTTGTTACAAATTTAGCATTGATTGAAGTGCACTGCTTTAATAGTCTCTCTACTTAGTCACCTACCAGAGGAAAAGATCCCCATGTTAAATCATTCTGGTGCTTCTCATCCCCCTCAGTTCAAACTGGAAAATTCAAACTGCTCTTGTTTCTGAGTGTCATTATCTTTATTTGTTACACTTTTGTGAAATTGATTTTTTCACTGTCCTCAATGGAGCAAGGGGCTTCCATTCTTGACTGAATCATCATGTGGTACGTTTTAAGGCATGCATCTATCTTATATGTCATCTGGTATCATTTATTGTCGAATGTATGCAAATGTTTGCCATCAGTCTTATGCACCCAAGTGCCGTTGTAGTGTCATATTTTTCTTCCAAAGATTCTTCATCTTTGTATGGGTCTTTCCTTTCAGTAGTGGGAACTGGATAGAGGAGGAACCTCACGGTTTCCCATTACTGGCTGTCAGATGTACTCTACAGTGCCCAGTCAAGGGTTGTGTTCAATTAGCTTTATGGGTTATTTGGGTGTTTTTTCATCCTCCAAATATTGATTTTATTTAAATAGTATTTATTTTACAGAATGATGCTTTAGCACATCCTATTTATTATCTTGTGCTCTAATTAATTAATGACTTTACAGGAAGGGTAGTTCTGATATATCAGCAACAGAACATGATTGTGATAAAAGAAGAGCAGTTCAGATATATAGAAATAGATTTTATCTCAAAATACTCAATTCCTGTGCTTTCTCCACCTTCTGCATTGAAGTGCAAGTTTAGTTTGTACTGTATCATTAAAACAATATTTTACCACCGAACACCAAACATTCTTTCGCTGTGTGTACTGTATTTTGAAGTGTGTGCCTGTTTTCTGAGAGTGACTGTAGAATAATTGATGAATCCATCATCCAGCAATCATCAATGGGCTTGTGGTGATGGTGACATGAAGAGCGTCCCATTGGCCTGTGTGCCTATGTTTCAATCTCAGCTCACCTTATTGCCCTTTGTCTTTTTGTGAGAATAAAAATCAGCATCTGTGATCCCAATCATCGACGAAACAATCATTTCATTTCTTTCTTCCTTGCCTTTACGCCCCTGAATTAATTCTCGAGGCACAAGCCACTTGAATTAATCTGTCAAGTTTGCAGCCTCGTACGACCTAAGAGTTCCATTGCTTGCTGCATGCCGACTCATTGCTTTGCCTTGCATCATGTTTCCCATGTGGTAATCATGAAGTGAAAGTTTTGAAAAGGAATGTGAGATATCGTTCCTAATTCATAATTTAGAAAGAGCAGGAACTAAACTTTTTTTTTTTCAAAACTGACCTGTATCTGTTCGTTAGATAGGTTCGTTCGTACTTGCTCCGCCAGGAGTACCATTTTTTAAATTCTTTCCTCATTCTTGAAGGACCTCAAAACCCAGGTATACGGGAGCACTAAAGGCGTAAGATCAGATTCATAGAGGAGTGACATTCTTAATGTATTCTGGGATAGGTTCTTTTGGGTTACCATCAGCGAAGCGGAGTGGAAGCCGCTCGTGAATCATGAAAAAACCTTCAGTGAGACCATGTTGTGTATGGCGTCAATGGAACTCATTATGTACCATCAAGGAGCGAACACTTGTGCTACTTATCAACCTGATGCGACTAGGAAATTTGAAACCAAAGGTTGGCTTCTTTGGGTTTCCTCTCGTCTCCTGCTGTCTTAAAATGAATATTTTTTTAAAGCTTGAATGGCATTTCGGACCAAGAGAACGTTATCGGAATGTCAAGCCGGAAAAGACAAAAGGGGAATTAATGAAAGGTTAAGAGCTAGTATAAATGCATAGCGAAAATTGGGTGATATGACGAAAGATTTTAAAATTTATTAAATTCACTTCACATGTGAGCATTAATGGGGCTCAATAATTTTGTCATTAGTAAGTTTTTTTTTATTACTTAATAATAATATTTGAAAATGTAACTTTCGGTGGGACCATGAGATTCTACAGAAAAGTACTCGTGTCTCGCCTGCGCACGAGTAGTCACCTTCAATTGGAAATCTAGAAGGGATTTTTCAGATGTACTTGCTCTATAAATAAGCCACGAAGCTCACGGCCGGCTCCTTTTCTGTCATGAGAATTAGATGAAGGCGAGGGGGGTAATGTCATGAGGGGACGTGATCATTCCCCATCAGCCAGCAAGGCAATGAGAGTAAAATTAGTGAAAGTTGACTTACGAGTGTCGCAGATCTGCTGAAGGTTTCTTGCATGCAATGCCCTTCCAGAGTATTCCATCGATAAATTGCCCCTCTTCCCGCAGATATACGTACCTCCTCTCTGCGTGGCTGATGATTTGTTTGTGAAATGGAATATGTTTCATCTCTGAAGGGGAAAGACAAAAGGAGTTAGCCAAAAAACATTGGGGTTTCGGCCTCAGATAGTGAATTGCTGAAGTGGACAGCGTAGTGTAACTCAGAATTGTCTCAATATATGTAACTTAATTTGATCTGGAAGGCCAGGGTCAAGATATGGCCAGTATTTGGAAATACAAAATTACACTGGTGAGATTTTGAGAAAGGGGCACTTCCAATTACCTTACTCCAGTGTGTCTCAACCGGTGGATCCGTCATGTTCTCACAAGTGGGTCGTGAGAGGATTAAAAAAAAAAGAGTAAAAGGGTAAAAGATGAAGGAAGGTGTCATGGATTATTCAGAGGTGCCAAACCGAAGTCCTGTATGAGTACATGAGCTCACATCCTCTGGAAAGGGTCACTCCCCAGAATCCAGATCACAGGTCGACACAGGAATGCAAGAAGAGGGAACGGCTTGCGAGCAGACGATTCCAGGAAACGGCAAGCAAAAAAAGAATCACTCAGAAATTGCAATGTTAGGTTTTTTCAATGCTGGAATCGCAATATTTTTTAATCCTGTCAGTTGAAAACTCGACCCAAATGAATCTGAGCGCATGTAAATGGAATACTTAACACAGTTAGTGCATCCCTTCGTGTAGTCTCGATGAGTCTGGAGCTCCGTGTCGAACTCCAATACCTGAGGCCATGGAGATTCACATGGTTGAAACCATGTGAATCTCGAAACGAACAAAAACCTTTAGTGGTTGTCGGAAACAACTGTCGCATCGCTAGCATTTCGTCTCGAATTCAGTTCTGGTGAGTGAGAATGAATGGACCGGTCATGAAGCACATCAATCACATGTACGTTTTAAGTTCTTATCAAGTGTTGTCAGGAAGCAATTCTGCGTTGGGATTTACGATTCAAAATAATTTTTTTTTATGGTTAAAACTTCCTGTTAACTTCATCACTATCCCCAGCTTTTGAGTATTCATCAGGCGTTGGATTCCCACCGGTTTCTCGATGCCGGCAAGATTGGCGGTAAAACTGCATTTTTTATAGGCAGAAATGGAAGTTTCTTTAAATTGCACAGTAGTTCTCATGTTCTCGTTTGTTTTCGAGCCACACGATTGCATTAATTTTTTGTAACCATTCCCGAACTTCCGGGTTGCATACATTTGTGGATCGGGCTCGGTGGGTTGTGGCGTAAAAGAGGTTGAGAGCTACTGCCCTATTCTATCAATCGATGTATTGTTACTCTCAGCTCGATGAGCTGAAATCAACAACGTTCTCCCCGAACCGATCACGCGACCACTGACTCATGATCCCATAACATAACTCCCCTTGACCTTATCCCTACCAGTGTGGCATCATTTTACTTGTCTGATCGAGCATGATTCAACGATGCCCCACTTCATCCGGTCATGTGATATTTTCGGGTTATGCCCTTTGGGTAAAGCGTAGTTTCAGCGAACCACGTCCATAGACACGTTTGGTAAAGTATTACATAATATTGAATTTCAACCTTCAAGCGAACGCGGTTTCAGTTTTAATCGTTGACCAACCTAACCTGAAATTACAAAACTGTCAATGATCGAGTCAAGGGAGGCAATGTTAACCTCAGCTAAATAATGGAGTAAGAGAACGCCAGAGTGAAATTTTGAAGCGTCTCGGAATAAAATATAAGTAATGTTGGGGGATTTTTCTCTTTGTTGGATATCATTTCTGGGGCTTATATGTCTGGGATTACTTATCTTGGAATACTCTCTCGGGGTGCTGGGTGATAGCAGAGGATCCGTCTTGTCTAAACCGATCTCATTCCATGGTGTCATTTATTTTTATTATTAAACGAGATTAGCCCAGATGAACCGGACTTCGTACGGACCCATGCACAAAACCAGATTGGTTTCCGTTTAACCAATTTGGCACATGACGCCCAAGTAGAAAGACAGAAAACTGTCTCCTTTTCCTGCTTTTCTCCCTATTCCTTGTTTCAGACTTCATGCCTACTTATGGACATAAAGAGGTTTTTCCTAAATATTTCTTTCCCCGAAAAGTCCCAGCCTGTACACGAAAGAATGCTGATATGCTCTAATGTAAATGATCGGTTTGAACTAGCCTGGTCGAAGTTGTAACTGGTCTCTTCCCATTCGAAAAACCATCTTGGAGAATGTGCCCATATTTACAGAGTGAGCAAAAGAACTGAATCCTTCTCATTAGATTGTTACATCCGTAATAATTAAAAAGCGATCGAGAAATTTAAAGGAGCTTAAATACCTCTCATCCCTGATCTAATGCACTTTATTTCAAGGAAATAAGACGAATAGTTCTTGCTCAAACTTTTTTTTCTGCGCGTGATAGAAAATATCGAAGTTGGGCGCGCATTGTGACGTTAACATGCCGGGATAATCATCCTAGATTTTTTTTTTCATTCTTTAAAGGCTTAGACAGCATTAACTATGAATAAAGTTAGAATTGCAAAAGATCAATAAAATAATTGAAAACTATGTTGAATGTGCCCTCTTCTGCTTACACAAACGCTGTCACTTAGCCCGCCACTGCTCGATCTCCGGTTAGATTCCCTCCGCCAAGGAAGAGGGAGACCTGGGAGCCGTCTGCGCTAATGCCGGAAGAGTTGGACGAGCTCTGCGGGTGGTTCGAGTTCCTATCTTCGTTTGAGAATTACACAAGTACGGCAAATTGATGGCGTGGTTTAAAAAAGGCATGGCGATAAAGGGCGAGAATTTCTTAGATCAAGAGCACCTTTTGCAGACCTGCCTTCTGAAAAAAGGAAGAGACAGAGAAAAGAAAGGAAGATAATCGAATTAAGAACTGCAACGCAATGCTGCAGATATAAGAAAAATAAACCAAGTGTATGGGAATATTCCATTGCTCTTGAATGCTCCAAAGCTCCATTGATGTTAGTGCGTGGTGTTAAGCCTCGTCCACACCAGAAAGTTTTCTATGCAATTTTTCTTTGCAAGTCGACTTGCGAATGAATATTTCACAGTGTGGACGTTATTGAAAGTTTCCTTTACAATAATTTTTCTTTCCGAGTCCTCTTTGCAATAGACTTTCAAAAGTAGAAACCCAGTCTACTTTTCTTGCAATAGAAGGTGAAAGATTTCAGTGTCGAAAATGGAGTGGGACAGGGAAAAGACTGTTGAGTTTAATGATAAATATTGAAATGAAGAGTGCCTTTGGAACGTGAGAAGTGTCCTGTATGAGGACAGGAAAAGAAAGCAAGATGGTTCGTCTAATCTTGCAACGGAATTGGAAGTACCGGTGGCTGAAGTGCAAAGTAAAATTCGAAATTTGAAAGTCCAGTAGAATGCGGAGAAGATGAAAGTGGACATATCAATGAGGAGTGGAGCGAGCAGCGCTGAAATTTGGTATTTGCCTACAAGCTCTTTTTGTTTTGACTGACGTTCGGGAAGTAAAAGAGACACAAAGCTATTTGATAAATACGGCAAATCATTTTCAGCACAAAACATTGAATAGCCAACGGCATGGGAAAAAAAACCTAAAACACTTTCTCAGTTCATTGCAAAGCCCACTGCCAAGGAACAATACCAGTTTCAGAGGAGAAAAACTCATGCAATACACGCAATTTGGTGATATGAGAATCAGGACATTGTTAAGTGGAAAAATGACAAGCACAGTCACAACACGTCACAACATATTTTAGAAGTGGCCACCGCCATGTTTAATGCACAAGC